AGCCTGAACGCGCAGCGACACAGCGGAGAAGAACCAGCCGATGGCTCCATGAAGCTGCTCTCGCCGGCGCCTCCCGTGTGCGTGGACGCCCGTTATTTGGGGGGGTAGTTATGCTCACCGTGAAAAGACCTAATTTGTGGAAAGACCTGAAATGTGTAGATATTGTGAAAATTACTTATCTTGACTTATAAATTACTCATTTTGATTTATAAGAGGTACAGTGCGGCATTATGTAAAACAGGATTACAAGTTGTAAATTCATAAAAGGGAATTGATAATAACGTGGAGTGTAATACGGTGATGTTGAAATATATGCTAATGTGTTCGTCATTGTGAAATATCCGTTTTGCTTCCGTGAAAGGCAGGAAATAACGATCGGAACGAAAGCGAAAATGTGCTGGTGGTGAGGTTAGAAAAAAAATGGCGGGCCACCTTCCACGAAGACAGCTCGGCGAGTGAGTAATGGCGTCTGTGTGACCGGCCCGTGCTCGTGAGTGGCGAACATGACGAGTCTCCTCCACCACGCGATCCCGTACGTGCTTCTCCTGGCCATCATCAACTCCCACACGCATATAAGGTGAGTTTAACAGGGTCATTAGCGCAGCCACCAAGCGAGGCGGGGGTGGGGGGGGGGCTGGCTGAGGCCGGGGCGAGAGGCTGCCAAGGAAGGCCGGTGCTTTTCATGTCTTTCAGGGAATCGCTGGTCTTCTGCGGGCGTGTGCGGGGCGGGGCTGTGGGCGGAATGGGGAGATCTATGGCTTTCAGCGGCTAGGCCCTGTGTTCTGTGTATTTGTGGGTGGTTTTCTTACATCCTTTCTGGGGGTATTGAGAATCGGGTAAGGCGTGTGGCGGACGTAACAGAATCCGATTTTTTATTTTTTTTTTTTTTTTTTATTAATTTACGGCGTTGTTTTTACTGCATTCTCGGCATTTGTAGAACTCAAAACACAGACCCTGTGCGGGCCTTAACTAATTGCGAAAGTTATGAGACCCTTTTTTGTTCAGTTCTTATTACCCGCTTTTCTGTTGTTGTTTTTTAAGCAAAATTCTAGTTCTCAGGTTATTTAAGAGCTCACAAGGCCTGCGTGATGCGTGTGTAGCCTTACCTAAGTGGGGGTATTTTTAGATACATTCCTTTCCGTTGTTAATTCTTATGTTTTCATTATCTTAACAAAATACCCGTTCTTTCCTTAACACATTTATGAACGTTTTTTACCTCTTGTATCTTTTTAAAAAATCGTTCTAATGTGCTAGACTTGGAATCCACAGAATTGAAAAAGAGAAATTTACTATCATTTCATCAAATTTACTGGAAATTTCCTTTAATGAAAGTATCGAGGATTGGTTATTATCTTGACGTTGCTGAAAGTTAACCTACTAGATATGCCGATATGTTTTTAAAAAATTATAGTTTAATAATAGTTTAACGACAATTTGATGATAATTTGTTAATAATCTGATATTATAATAAGTCAAGGATCAACCTAAATTGAGTATACACCAAAGATGATACGTTAGAAAGTGAAATTTGAAAAAATGATAGCAACAACATAAGGGCATTAATGATAGCATTTATAGCAACTATACTAGCAACAATGGTATTGATGATGACAATGATGATTTTATAATGATGATATTAGAAAGTCAAATTATGATTGCATGGGCAGATGATTTATTTGAGACGTAAGGGTGAGATAAGTAATGGAATAAATGAAAATAGATAATAAAAAAAAAAAAGAGGCTTTGTTGTGATAAACCCTAATGTTATTAGTAATAAAGATAATTCTGATGATGGCAGTGATAGCGAAACACAACCGCGCGATCAGCAATAGCAACCAAGATAATGATGTAATTCATTTGCATAAACGGTAACTTTGATGATTTTAATGACAGGAATAACGAGACACTGAGGTAATGGTGCGCATGACAGCATTGATAACTGAAATCAATTATAATGAGAGTGGCTATTGCAGTTGTAATGATTATCTCTTTAATTTTTTATTTCGTTATCAATATTGCTGATAATGTGATTCCTATCAACACTAGTTATTCTTGTTATCAACATCATTATCAAATCATCATCATAATTATTGCAATGCCTACATCTTAGTATTCTTACCTTCATCATTATTTTTTTTTTTATTTCTATCGTTATTATTAATACTATCGTTGTTGTTATTGATTGGTGATTATAATACTGATAATAATATTGATGGTTATCTTCATCATTATTTTTTTTTTTATTTCTATCGTTATTATTAATAATATTGTTGCTGTTATTGATAATGGTAATGTTGGTGATAATGATGATAATGATAATAGCAAGGATAATATCGGGAATAATATTAACAATGATGATAATTATAGCAATAATGTTGACGATAGGCATAATGAAAATTATAATAATAATAATGACAATAATATAATGATAATGATAAATAATATAATGATGATGATTTTGATAATGATAATAATAGTAAAAATAGCATAATGATAATAG